CCTCTTCATTGAACACAGTGCCACATTGTGCAGGTACACTGTCCTCAATAATGGCACCTTCGGCTTCTATCGTGGCCCACTACACCTTACATTTTTTTCCCTTGGTGACTTCCCCCTCGTATTTTACATAATGAAACCTCAACCCAGTGTGCAGTAGTTACACAGGATGCTTATAGTTCTTTATCCCCTGGGTACCTCCTCTTTTCCATCAACCCAATGACACCATACAAGATGGGTGGTACTTAACTCCTGTCTTAATAGGACTTGCCGTAGACCTAGGAGCCGCCAGCATTGGCACCAGTACAGCAGCATTTGTCAAATGAAATCAGATCATAAAACCCATCACCATAGAGTGACCCTTTCAAATTTTATTCAACAATTTCATGAAACATTTTTCATTATACCGCAAGCCTGAGTCTCTAGCCCAGATGGAACGGGTGACAGGCTGGCTCTTGACTACTTACTCGTCAGGGAAGGAGGAGTTTGTGCCATTCAGGGCACCTCCTGCTGTATGTTCATTCTTAACTGTGCAGGTACAGGCCGAACTGAGGAACAGGCCTTCCAACACCTTCCAACAGATTATCTTGCATTCAGAGATCTGACCTGCTTGCTTGGGTATCAGTGGAGTTCCTGGTTGTGGACTGGATTCCAAACCCTCATCATATTCCTAATAGGAGTCGTCTTAGTTGTCATCTCTATAAGTGTTTGCCTTTGGTGGGCAAGTCTGTTTCAGTCTGTCCCACTGTGTCCCCCTCACCTTTAACATCTCCACAATCTGGATGCCAAGTGTCAGTCCCAATCAGTATTGTTAAGAATGTTGAGGAACCACAGAATGGATTATATTGTAAATTTTTAGAAATATATATTTTCCTGATGCCCAATATCTTCACAAACAGGCTGTGAGCTCGCTGCCCAGGTGACCAGGTGAAGCAATGTGATAACACTGGTCCCTGCCCCAAGTTCTCCTTTGTTCTCTCCCATGTCTGTGACCTAGTGACATTCAGACGCACACTGTAACTCCTTTATGGCTTTTGCTTGTGTACGTCAGTCCTCCTGACCCCAAATAAAAGCCCCAAGAGCTCCTCTCTCTTCCCTGTTTCCCAGATACAGCCTGCTCCCTTTCTGCTCCTCCAGCATGGCCCTGAGTGGCATCTCTTCCTCCCTCTCTAGGACCTGTGAGCATAATGAATCCTTTAGTAATTCCCACAGCTGTATTGGAGTGAGTGCTCCTTAAAGCTGACATGAGGGGTATTACTCCCTCATTTACAACACAGTGATTAATGCCCTAATTTCATGTGAAAAACTAGGTGACACTGTGACTTTGTGGTTGTAGTTAAGTCTGTTAAGTAAAAATTTGTGTGACTTCCCACAATATCAGCCCTGTGACAGCAAGAAATACATATCCTTAAGGGCTGTCATGGAAGCTCTCTGTTTCTCAGACAGAATTGTGCCGCAGGTGGGAAGGTTTGTGATTGTTATTTTCAGTGCAGTCCACTCCAAAGACCCATCCCTCACCACAGTCCTTGTAGTCCTTGTTACTGCTGTCACAGTGAAGTGCAGCATTTGGTTACAAGGCAAATGCTTCCTTGGGCACTTGATCACAATCAACCATAGGTAATATCTTGATTGAGGTGATGCCCTGAATGTCTTTCCCATTGGTAAGGAGCTCAGCTATCTTTACAAGCCTAAGTCCTCAGAACACTGTTTGTCTCAATAGTGTGTAAGTCTTGGTCCAGTCAGAAGATAGAAGTCACACCTTGATTTAAACAAAAGTGTAACATAAAGATGTAAAGAGAACTCTGACTTATATCCTGTATTTGACAGAGTACCTGAGGAAGGCAAATTTGGAGGGGGTGCCTCTCCCCAAGACTGGGCCTCAAACCTTGTTGGAGATGATGACTTTGCAGCCCACTGGCTGGTGACAAAGTTCACTGGGTTGCCATGGCCATTTTAAAGCAGGAAGCAGCTCTCTGGAATGCAGGCAAGCCCTGGCTTGTGGGCAGATGAGCAGAGGGAATCAGGGTGCCATTGGGGTTCAAGACTGAGAGCACTAAGCATCCACATCAGGAGGCTGTGGGAAACTAGTCTCCGCTGTGTAGACAAGCTATGGCTGGTCGGTGAATGCAGAGAAGACGAGGGTGTTCCTCCCACCCTTGCATTCTTAGAGTAATTCAGTACATTTCCTGCAGACTCAGATTTATATTGTGTTATGACCAGTTATTTAGCTGTAATCTAGTTATACTTGATTATACAATTTGAAAAGGATCTTAGTTATCTGCCAGACAGTAGTCACTGGGTGTTTTCATGAGCCAGGCTCTGTGCCAGGTACTGGGGAACATTAGTATCCAAAGGACACATAGTGCTGCTATGAGATGCAAAAACTCTCCAAAGAAAAGCAGATCTAAAGGATCTTAGTTATCTGCCAGACAGTAGTCACTGGGTGTTTTCATGAGCCAGGCTCTGTGCCAGGTACTGGGGAACATTGGTATCCAAAGGACACATAGTGCTGCTATGAGATGCAAAAACTCTCCAAAGAAAAGCAGATCTCCATGTCACACTACACTGTCATAAATCATTCCTAGAGATACATAGAGTTCATTAAAATATTTTGTTTCTTGAAAAACATTAAAGTTTAAAAAGTGTGTCCACACAGGGCCGAGCCCGTGGCGCACTTGGGAGAGTGTGGCGCTAGGAGCGCAGCAGCGCTCCCGCCGTGGGTTCGGATCCTATATAGGGATGGCTGGTGCGCTCACAGCGCTCACTGGCTGAGCGCGGTACAGCCAGTCTCAAAAAGGACCAAAGGAAAAAAAAAAAAAAGTGTGTCCACACAATAATAATCTTGTAAAATGTATAAAGGAATGCTTCACACACATGAGTAAATAGACAAGTCCACGATTCAACAGAGATTGCTTCTTTGAACAATAGACAAAAAGTAGGATATACATTTGAAAAAGATGAGCAGTGTGTCTACTATTCATATACAGAATATTGTATGTAGTAGCTGAAAGTGCTTGTTTGGAGCTGGCAGTGAGGGAATGGACTGAAAGGGGAATGGGCCTTCTGGGGACACGGTTAAATTCTTTATCTTGTTTTGACCATTTTCAAAACTTCCCATAAGTACTTAAAATGTGTGCATTTGAATGTACATTAGTTATATCTCAGTTTGTAAGAATATCTAATATTCTATACAGATACCACCAAACTAAACACATTTGTGGTCCTGTTCAGTCCAAGGACCCCCCAGTTTGAGACCCCTGGTGGTAGGTATGGTCTATACCAGGAGTCCAGACACATGGTTTTTGTAACCCAACTTGACTTCAGAGTTTTAGTCTTCTCATCTGTGGATTTTTGTGAGGGTGAACTTGGCTCATGGGCAACGAATTGTGGAACCTTCAGTGTTTATCCTCATTCAAATACCATTCTGTAGATCACCATTTGGGCTGTTCTGGTTTTGGTTTATTAACGATTGTCATTAATTTTTAACGAAGAGTTAATCTTTAAAATACATAAGGCTAAAAGGTAAGAAAAATTATGAAAGAAGAGTGAGGAGGAAATGAATAAAAATAAAAGCAAACCTTGGTGAAAAATAGAACTGATAAGTACTTTGAAAGGGTGGTTCTCTGAGGAGACCCATGAAATAGACATGTGTTGGGCCCAGTCTGATTGGGCATTGCCCCTCCGCCAGTGCAAGGGGAGGGCAGATGTGTTTGATTTGTGTGTTTCCTACCGGGAGCCTGTTGTGACTGCCCAGTATTTAAAATGTATTCTGAGATTTTTTTTTTTTTTTTTTTTTTTTTTTTTAAAAAA